ACTGGGTCACTCCCAAGCATGAAGAAGCCAACAACTCAAGAAGTTTTGTGAAGAGACGCAAGAAGGCCCTGCTCGTGCCATCCACTTCGATGCATCACTTTTGCTAAACTTTGCCAGGCAGGTGTGCCCACACCTCCACCCAAAGGCACATGGACGTGAGGACGGACGTGAGGACCTTTAAGGACTGGTGGATGGGATGCAGATGGGATGGTTGTTTTTCAAGATCTCCCAAACTCACTGCTTAGATTGGATCCTGAACATCTATATAAGGCGGTGTGTAAGAAGTTGATGGGCATGTTGGTCTCAGAAGGCTGCAAGTTCCTCCAAATCTGCAGGTGTTTGAATGGATTTGGAGCGTCAAGCTACCTTTTTGAAGGTGCAATTGGATCCATAGGACTTACTGCATTTGCAAAAAGGGAGTGCACCATCTTTGACTCTTGATGTACCTGTAGATGGAGTAAGAAGCCATTGCAACATCCTGGTTCAAACCTTATAATTGTATAACCTCAATGAACCTCATATATAGATCGTTCAAGCTTTTTGTTCAAGAGAAGCACTGCAGCCTCACAAGTTCGTCCCTTCTTCCCCACCTCAGCCTGAGCTGCTTCAGCTGCAGCTGCGCAGGTGCAGGCAAAGGTTCCCAAGAGGCGGTGCGGGTGTCTTTCCCAGAGTTTGGTTGGTACAAAGCACGTTCAGGTCTGAGAACGGTCGGTGCTTGAGCGCTGCACACACCAAGTCTGTAGAACGTGAGATGCCGCGAGATAGTCCGAGCTTGTTCAGAGCCAGAGGCCTCGTTGGTGAGCTCGGGTGAGCTGTTTGTTAATGTGTATTTTGGGGAACATGAGGTTTGCTTCTGGCGGGCCATGAGGCCCACATTGTGAAACATGTAGGAGGCCAAGTTAAAGAGTAAAGTTATACTCCACTGAATGACACTGGGCCCTGGGGATCATCATGGCGTCATGCCCAAGCACAAGCCATCACAGGCTTTTGTGTGAGCTTGCGATCAGATCAACTCTGACAGCTCAGCGTCCTTGCGCCGCAGGGGACCATCGCAGCTTTGCGGAACATGTTCGTTGGGGCTGCCCAGGGAGAATTGCGTGGGATGTCGATGGGAGAACGGCGAGAAGGGGGAGGACAACGGTCATTGTATTTATACATATCTATACTGCTGATAGAAAAGACTGATTATTGACGGTGACTTGGGGTAGAGAAAACCACGGGATGGCCATACATTGCTGGTTCCTTTGCCACATCAGAAATTCAGTAAGTACTTGCGTGCATCATTGCACCGATATATGCATTTTTGTTTTATCGATGTGTGTATAAATATAAATATATATGTAATTGTACACATACATGTTGCACGATTTTTCCAGGTCTCCTCAAAAGATCTCAAAGCACAAATTGAAATCACAAATCCCTGGTAGGCAAACTAGACTAGACAACTAGATATCTAGACCGACCAATCATCACCACTTGTTTTTCACACGCCCTCTCCATTTGTGACACTCCAAACTCATGTTTGCCATGTAGCAATGCCATGTACATGGCAACACCCCTGACCGTTAAAGACGGTCCGGAACTTCGTCGCCTTCAGGGTGGCACCGGCAAGGCGGGTATGGCAGCACGTAGGTATGGCCTTCGCCTTTAAGCTTTCAGTCCCCAAATAGGGAAGATGGCACGGTGTCCAATACATTATGAGTAGGGATTTACGAACTTCTATCATCTATCTATGTGGGATCTGAGATTTGTACAAGGTTTGTTTGGGGATTGGGCACACCCCACTCAACAAGAACAAGAGGACGGTTCGGTGAGTTGAGCTCCAAGAATTGCCCGCATGGACGCTTGGGGGTGAAGGAATGGTACTCCAGCAAGATCCGTTTTGCTGACATGTTCTAACCAATTGGTCAAGCTTTGGTTGGTCTTCAAGCATCCCCATCTCTCTCTCTCTCGCTCTATTCAGGAAGGGGTAGCTTGAGATATGGTAGCCCCCAACCACGCTTCTTTCCCTGCATGCGGGTGGGACCTTCGGCAGAAACGCGCCAGGCTCCCGAGCCAGTGTGGCAGACTGAGTGGGCCGAAGCGGACACATGTAGCACTCTAGGCAAATGCGGCTAAAGTCAGAGATGAATGAATCTGAATTCATTTTTGTGGGTGGGCAACATGGTAAGGAGATCCTGCTTTCCCCTTGGCCTGTTTCCTCCTTGGCGGCATCTTCAAAGTCACGACCATGGCTTGTTTGTTTTTCTTTTGAGTTCTGAACTGCAGGGTTGAGGTTAAGAGGAGGAACACATGAAGTGTATGTTGAAAGAGTGATTTGTGGTTAAGACAGGGGGTGTGAACCATAAATCATCATAGATCTGCAAGATTGGAAAAACAAAGAACTCTGACTCTGACCATCCCTTATACATGAGCCAACACCAAGACCACTCAGAGCTTGGTTTTTGCAGCAGGGAGCTCCACAACGTGCATCCGAAAGGACCTGTGTGAACGGCACGCCGCCAGCGCAGGACGCGCATGAATAAACCAAGTCACTGTTACCAACCAACACCCACAAAAAGCTGATCAACCCACCCAAGCCATTTACCCTCCAACCCCTATTGGTACTACACCCGGCTAGTTTCTCCACCCACCCTGAGGGCCGCTCATCCCCACGCAACCAAGGCCTCCTGGTGCCACGCAGGGTGCGATGGCCAAGAGCTTTGGTCCACCGCAGCCGGTGGGGAATGCCCAGACTGCTGGTGGAGAGGTGGAGGTCGTCTCACCCGGAGCCCGGTTGAACATGCAGCCCGGTTGACCATCTTCGGTTCATGTGTGGGAAAATGTCAGGGTCCGTTCTGACCCAGATCCATGTGGAGTTCATTTTTTCCATGGTGGTGCAACTAATTATTCTAGAGCTCCACATGTTTTCCACACAAATCCAGAAGTTCATTGGTTGGGGGAGTTTGCTTGAGGATTCGCTGCTGGATTGATAGTTGAACGGACCAATCAACAGTTGTCGATAGTGACCTCTTCTGTTCGTCTCTAAGTGACCTCTTTGGGGACGGACTGTGACCTCATTCGATCTCAAGGACGGTTACGTACTGAAGGTCCTGGTAGACATCCATGTTCTGGACCACTGAGATCCATCCCTGCGCCGGTCGCCCGGGTCCGTCGCAGGTGCCGGGGCCACAAGCTCCCAAGGTGAGACCCCGTGACCAGGAGGGTGGGGACGGCGTGTGGGGAAGCGCGTGGCATAAGACGTGGCATATAAGATCTCCTGATGTGGATGAGGTGTAATGTGGACTCTTGATAAATAAGCCCTCCCTTTTGAAAAGCATTTGAAATTCCAATGGGAGGTTTATTAATCAAGAGTCTACATTAAGGCACTGGTGAATTGAAATCTAAAAGGACAAGACTGCCTACGACGACGAACAAAAAGCAGGGCAGCCACCACCTGCTGGTGGTTTGTGTTGCTTTTGGAGTAGGGCAGCCGCCTTCACATGTTGCTGTTCTTTTTATGCACTCAAGGTGTATTAGGTCCTTTTTGCAGTGGTTGGCCATGGTTGACCTCAGTAGATGGAATTAAGGGCGGAATATATAGTTTTCCTGAACTTGGGTGCGTAATGCCATGGAGCCCCGACCTAAGAAGAAAGCGCGTGATCTTCAGTCATGTTCACTCTTGTGACACACAGCTCCGGCATCAAAGAAGCCCCACTGCCCTGACATGAAGTCATCCTGCTTTCCAACAAGATGGTGCAGCTCCAGCATCGTACCCTCCAGGCACCTGGAGGTAGCAGTGAGCCGCCTTCCTCCCCGCAGGTGCGGGGTGGTTTGATGGGAGGAACTGCCAGATCGCTGTCTTCGATGGTTGGGAATCTTTGGGTTCCAGGTCACACGAACCTGCTTTTGTTCGTGTACACGTTTTCCTGTGCCACATATATGATATGGTGATCCTGATGGTTCCTGGCACGTTTGAGGTTCCATATTGAGCTGAAAACGACTGAAAACTGTTTGGAAGTTGAAGTTGTTCCTCCACAGCACGGCGTGATGTGGGCGGTTGATGCAACACATCACGTTGCTGCCAGGCAGGTGTTAGCAAGGCCGGCCTGCCCACCCCTGAGGCTGGATCTGTGGGTTTCTTATGGGTTCTCTAGTATCTTGCGCGTAATGTGGACGTGGCAAAAACAAAGCAAGGAGATTTGCCGGCGTTTGTTCCCTTTTCCAGCGCAGTTTGCTATGGTCAAGTCTGCGTCACTGCAGCATTCCTGTTTCTCAATCACTACATTGCCCACGTACAATGCAACCTAGTTGTGTTTCTCAAGAGGGTTAGTTTGAGGGAGTGTAAATGAATTGGTACGGTAGGGTGACCACGCCTATCCAGGCCTAAAACTTCAGGTTCTTCGTTGCAGCCACCAACCAATCAATGTAGATGACCTCCGCGTTTGGCGTTGGCCCTGAATCCAGTGGCCAGAGCATGTCAAAGGATGCCCGTTTGATGATCAGTGCACGTCAAGAAACAACATGTTTGAGGACTGCCGCGTCCACAGAATTGACACTTGCATTTAGCTTGCGGTTGCAAGAAATATGTATGGAATGTGGTCGTTGAGGTGTGCGTTGGAAAAAGACATTTTTTCATACTTACTAATACATTATATAATATATATACTACCCTCACAAACCGCCACGGTGCAGTATCCTTTGGCACGCTCCCCCATCATCGGCTGGGGTCGGCGGACATTCATTTGACCAGCAGAAGGTGCCTTTTCAGCACTCCTTGTCGTGTGTGGCCGCATCCATCCAGACTGCATTCGTGACAGCATCCATATCATCCATGTAGACTGCAGACTATACCAGACACCACCTTGGAGAATTCCACCGGAGGCATTTGATGGTTCGCCTTAGAGCACCAAGAGAGTCGAGAGGTAGACAAATCCAAGTCACCTTGTGATAGGGGTGGGGTACTTTATTACATTCAACTCTTAAATAACATTCTTTGTTTTGTTCAGTCTTCTTCGGCCATGCCGACCTTTATTGCGGCACGCCGCACGCACTCAGCCAGACGGAGGCCGCTGCTTCTTGAACTGCGAAAGCCACTGCGCTGCCTGATAAGCTGCTTGCTATGGCTGCCGTGTTTCCAACTGCCGCATCTGAGCTATGTGGGAAAACCCATGGCTCAAGTTCGCCCCCATGGAGAGAGACAGCTGCGGACGACCATGTTCGTGCGAGAGAGGAGGGGGTCGCTGTGGCGGAAGAACAGCAACTCCAAGGCTCCTGTGGTGGCATCAGGAGGCAAGAAGGCGGCAAAGATTTTGACCTCTAGGATCAACAAGGCTCCGACAGCTACGGAGTTGCTCAATGTGTTGAATGAGGCCGTGGATTTTCCTGATTTCAACTACTTCCACATCTCAACAGCATATCACACGTTGGCAATGTTTCACCGGAATGGATTGTTGCAAGGACTTTGTGAAAGCCCGGTGCTGCCCAAGCTTCACACTCGGACTAAAACCATTATGATGTCGCAACAGATAAACCCACAGGCTTCGGCCAACGTGCTTTGGGCAATGGCAGTAATAGTTGACACGATTCCCGGAACGACTCAGTTGCTGCCAGCATTGATAAAAGTTTTCCCTGAGAAAGCAGCTGGCATGGATGAACAGGAGTTGGCCAACTGTTTGTGGGCATCAGCACAATTGAAGGATGTCGCTCCTGATGTGCTGAAGGTCGTGCAAGCACTCATTGCCCAAACTCCAAGCAGAGCTGTTGACATGAAGCCTCAAGAATTGTCGAACTCTTTGTGGGCATCAGCACATTTGAAGGATGTCGCTCCTGAGGTGCTGA